TATGTGACTTGCCCAGGGTCACACAGCCAGTCAGTGTTTGTAAACCATAAAGCTGTGCAAAGATGAGTCTTGTGCTCAGAGCCTTGGGACTGTGTGGTGTGAGTGACCAGAAGGATTAAGGACAGTCAAAGCCCAGCTTCCTCCACTACCTCCTCTCTTCCTCTGGCCCCTCCTGCTTCCCAATAGCAGCCCTTCAAACCCTCAAAGATGGCTATCAAATCTGCCCCCCTCCCCATCTTCTCTTCCCCACGTTAAACAGTCCCATGTCATTCAACCGGTTCTCATATCTCATGGACTCCAGCCCTTTCACCATGTTGGTCACTCTCTATAAACTGTGGCGCCCAGAACCGAGCACAAGACTCCAGATGAAGTCTGACAAGGGCAGAGCACAGCGGGGTGATCATCTCCATAGTCTTGGAAGCTCAGCCTCCTCTTCAGGCAGCCCAGGAAGGCACTGACTTGGGCTGGTACATCCCACTACTGACTTGTGGTGAGGTCCACTAAGACCCTTAGATTTTTTTCAGAACAGCTGCTGTCTATCCATGCCTCCCCATCGTATTTTTGTGCAGTTGATTTTTTGTACTCTTGAGCAAGAGTTTTCATTGAACTCTATTGAATTTCTTCTAAACAAATTCCGAGCCGTGATCCTCTTGGGTCCTGACTGTCATCTACCATGTAAGCTATTGAATGGAATGGAATGGAATGGATGAATCAGGGAGCGGGGGAGAAGAGACTGGAAGGCTGAGGTCAGATCATTCAAAACTACCCAGCCTTGTAGCCAAGACAACACCAACCATCCAGCATAATTAGATGGATTAGGCCTGGATTGGGAATCCAGCCACCCCAGAGCTAGAGAGATCACTGGGCCTAGGGTTGGAAAGACTCGAGTTCAAATCCGGCCTCGGACACCGTGCAAGTCTCTTTGTCCCTCTATGCCTCAGTTGCCTCCTCTGTAAAATGAGGGCCTTGAGCCTGATGACCACTAAGGTCCCTTCCAGCTCTAAGCCTATGAGCCTGTGAGCCCTTCACTTTACAGAGGAGGAAACTGAGGCCCACGAGGGAAGGCGACTTGCCCAGGCCACACGGGTGGGGGCCAAGACCAGGCACTTAGTATCCACGTGACCTCAGGCCAATCTTTGGTCCTCTCTGAGCCTCAGTGTCCTCCTCTGGACTGGGCGACCTCTCTGGTCCCTTATCCACGCCCCTCCCCCCTTCACAGCCCCCAGCCGGTCACGCCGCCGTCCTCTCCCTCGCTCTGGGGCCCCAGCTGAGCCGTGGCAAGGTGTCGAGGCAGTGAATCGGGGCGGCGCGCTCACTTAACCACAGACCCTGCTTGGAGGGGGACGAGAACGGGCTCCCCACCCCGGCAGCCTCTGCTCGGGGCCTGGGAACAGAAACTTTTTGCTGAGCAGTTGTGAAAAGTTATCTCTGTGTGCGCATGCATGTGTGAGCACAGATGGATGTGTCTGTGTCCCTGGGACTAGTGGTGGGTGGGTGTGTGACTGTGAATCTGGCCACAGGATGGAGAGGAGGGCCTGTGGGCACAAAAGAGCACCTTGTTGTGGCTAAGTCTGGGCTTGGGAGTGAAGGGGAGGAGACAAGACAGGAGGGTGGGGGTGGGGGTGGGGCGTGTGTGTGTGTGTGTGTGTGTGTGTGTGTGCACGCGCGTGCGCACACGCCTCCCAAACAGCCTTTCTGTGTCTACCTATACGTGGATGTGTGAGTACACTTGTGTCTGCCTGTGCGTGCGTGCCTAAGAGTGTGTGTGGCTGTGCCCGGATGAGGTTCACTAGATGTGCCTGGGTGTGGGACTGTGTGTATCTCTGCACGTGAATACACATGTGTCTGTGCACAGGTGTGTGCGCGTCTGTCTGTGCAAGGGGCTACTTGTAGGTGTCTGTGCACGGGTGAGTGCCAATGAGTATGCGCATGTGTGGATGAGTGTGTGATGTGTGTGAGCACAGGAGGGCCTGCTCACCCCTCCTCCCCTCTCCCCTGCTCACTGCAGCCTTCTCCCCAAGGTGAATAAAATCGAGTGGAAAATGTGAGGAGGCAAGGCGGCTCAGCCCACCAGGGGAGCCCTCTGACAGGAAGCTGCTAGCAGGCTAGTGACTGCCTCACCCCTCCACCTGCACACCCCTGCCTTCGGTCTCACTGCCCCAGGGAGGGGGCTGCTTTCTGCCTGAAGCTTCTCTCACCCCCAGCCCTGGAGGCTGGGGCCCCAGCTGAGTGGGGCTGCCAACTTCAATCCGGGCAAGACAGAAGCCGGACTCCGCCTGCCCCAACTGGGCCTCTCTGTGCCAGCTGCCCAGGCACTCGGGCCTCTGTGCCTGAAAAGTGAGGGGAGGTCCCAGGTCAGGGTCAAAGGGACCGGGAGAGTCCTCGCCTTGCCAGCCTCCTGGGACACTGAGAACACGACAGGGACAGGGCCTTGCTATGGGGCAGGCTGCCCACCAGGCTTGCAAAGTCCTTGGAGGCACTCTGAGGATGGTTATCCCCATTTTAGAGATGAGGTAACTGAGACTCTGAACCTGGAGCTCGAAGAGCTGGCTTCTCCCCTCAGCTTTGCCTTAAATAGCTGTTGAACCCCAGGCACAGGCAGCTAGGTAGGACAGTGGACAGAGCATTGGACCTAGCAGAAGACCTGAGTTCAAGTTCAGCCTCAGACACTTACTAGCTGTGTGACCCTGGCAAGTCACTGAACCTTGGTTTGCCTGAGTTTCCTCATCGTTAAAATGGGGATGGTAGTAATAGTCCCTGTCAGGACTGTTGTGAGGGTCAAATAAGATAATAATTGTAAAGTGCTAAGCACACAGTAGGTGCTTAATAAATGCTAGCAATTATTATTAATTTCATGGAAACACAGAGGAGAGTAGAAAAGGACCCTGGAGGCTGCCAAGTCTGACCCGGAGCTAAGCAGGAATGCCCTGTGTGGAGACCATCGGCAGCAGGGAACCCCCTCCCTCGTGAAGCGGCCCATTGCTCTTGGGGACAGCCCTGACCGCAGAGACAGAAGGCAGGGCAGCTTCTGCCGACAACTCCTTTAGCTTCCGGGGCCCAGCGGAACACGGCTAACCTCTCTGCTAGCAGGGAGCCCTCCAAATCCACCCAGCTCCACGTGAACCCTGCGTCTTCTCCTCCGTGGTCCTCCTGCTGCTGCCCTGCCTGTCTGCCTCTCAACACAAGCCAGCTGATCAGTGTCTTTACTCATCTGTAAAATGGGCATGCCATTTACCTTCCCACCCCACAAGGGCATGAGGAGGTGCTAGCCTTTCCCTACCAGGGCTTCTCCAGCCACAGTCTCCACACCTGTCCCAGTTCTGGTGACCAGCTCCTCCACAAGCCTTCCCCGGTCTCCACCCCCAAAAGGAGTGATTTCTTGGATCCTTGGGATCTCTCAGAGAAGTTTCTTTGTTCCTTTTATCACATTCCCTACATCCCAGAGGTGGGCCAGGCCCATTCTGCACTCTTCTCTGCTGCCTACAGACAGCTTCTCCACCACCCTCTTTCCCCTAAGAGGTCACAACTTCTCCTCCCTTAAAGGTCAATCATCAGGCATCGCCCTGTGTCTGCTCTCCTTCTGTCTCTATCCTCTCTCTCCGGGACTTCATCAGGTCCCATAGCTTTCATTATCTCCTTGAAGGCAGCTCCCGCATCCATGTACTGGGTTCCAGTCTCTCTCCTGAGCTCCATTCCTGAATCACCAGCTGCCTCAGATTGGACATCCTTCAGGCAGTTCAGACTAGACCGTCCAGCAATCTCCAATCCATCTCTTTCTTCTTTCACTCCCGGTGATCTCACCAAATGTCATAGAGTCAGTCAACATCTCTATACAGATGACTCCCAAGTAAGCTGCCCTCGTCACTCTCTTGGGCTTTGGTTCCATTTCACCAATTGCCAACTGGAAATCTCTGCCAGATGTGGTACAGGCCTCTCAAACCCAAGATCTTGAAAGTAGAACTCATTATCTTCACCCCCCAAAAAAATCCACTCCCCTTCTCTCTAAGGCACCACCATCTTTCCAGTCACCTAGGTTTCAACCTCGAACTCATTCTTAACTCTCTGCTCACCCTCCCCACCCAAACCCAATCAGTTGCCAGGCCTACCTCCCTTCTGGCCCCTCCTCCCTGTTTCCATGGCCCCCGCCCTAGATCAGGCCCTATTTAATCGACTGATTTCATTCTCCTCCCCTCTTCCATGCCTACAACATTGTCCCTCCTGCTCTCTGCCTCCTGGCACCCCTAGCTCCCTTGGAGGCTCAGCTGAGGAACTGATGCCTTCCCTGAGCCCCCCAGTGTTTTCCCTCCCCTGAAATCATGTCCTATCTACTTATTGATGCACAGGTTATTTCCCCACCCCCACAGATGATGTGCTCAGTGAGGGCAGGGACTGTTCTGTTTTCTCTCTTTATACCCCCAATGCCTAGCACAGGGTCTGGTGCATAGTAGGGACTTAATACTCATTGAATTGAATTGAATCCTGCAGCATTTCTGGTCTGTTGTACTTCAACCATAAGCTCTCTTGGACCATCCAAGTGAAAGTAAGCTTCTCGAGGGGAGTAATTGTTCAGCGCTTGTCTCTGCACCCCCAGTGCCCAGCCAGACACACAGCAGATGCTCATTAAATGAAGGGGGCGGCACTGTTCGTTCACATTTCTTGTGCCAAGCTCTGGTCTCTGCCCCCCACGTTCAGGCTCCTTGGGGTCAGGGCCTTGTGTGTCTCTGGTCTCTCTACCCCACCCTCCTCCGCCAGCACAAGGGAGGGAGACCACGAGGGGAGGAGTAACAATTAGTGCTTTTTGGTTGGTGGATGGACATTGGGAGGAGCCCCTGGAGGTCGGTGAGTGGGAGACGCTGATGTCGATTAAGCTTCCAGGGCAGGACTTAGACATCGACCTACATCCCTTAAGAGCTACTCCTCTTTCCTCCACTTGCTTCTCCTAGGCCTCTCCTTCTCCCAGCCTCTTCACCCCCAAAAACAAGACCGTGTTCACAAACAGCTTCAAAGATAGATTCTTTTTAAATTTACAATAGAAAACAAACTCATAGAAATGAGGCACCAAAGCCCAAATGGGCCTACTGAAAAAATTAGGGGATGTCAACACATGGCATGGTTTCTGTTCTCCACCCAATTCCCTCTCTTGCAAATCCCAAAGGTCCATGGGAGCAGCTCCAAGTCAGATTCCTCTCAGCCACTCCTCATAGTCTTCATTGGCCAAGATCGAGTGCAAATATGCAAAATAACTAAAAAATTATAGCTCATCACCATTTTAAATATAAGATTTAGAAATGCCAGCAGACTGCCCACAGCACCATCAGAGATATAGGTAGCCCCTGGCAAGAGCCCAGGGGTGCAGGGCTTGCCCACACCTCTTGCTAAAATAAATAATAATAATAATAATAATGACTTTAAGAAGCCAAATCGCAGTTTACCCAGATTCAAGGAGAAATGGCTCCCAGATTTGGGATGTCCATGCTGATTGAAAAGATGAGAAGTCCTCTTCAAAGGAAAAGGTCAGACCAGCCTCAGTTCCATTGCTGTTAAACAGGCTGAAACTATTCCAGAAGCCACCAGGCGCAACCCAGGAGCCATCCTGGAGATTGGTGTGTTGGTCCTTGGCTTCGAGGAGCTAATCAAACCCCAAATGGCAGGGCTCTAGGCTGGTGGAGCCAGATCAGTGTCCTGGGGGCTGGGAGAAAGGCCGATCTGGGGGCTGAGTTGGTGGAGTAGGACAGGATCTGGGTTGGGGTGGGGGTGGGGAGGAGGCTCCATCCCCTCTTCTAGCTCCCCCACATTCCCCTGCCCTCAAACTGCAGGCTGGAGCAGCCCCAGGCAGGTGAGGACCAGGCCCTGCTCAGGCCCTGCCGCCCCACCCCCTTCAGGACCTCTAAGGTTTTCACTTTCACAGTTAGCAGTCCAGGCCCACAGAGTTTGCCTTAACTCTCATTAAAAAAGCCCACATCAGGCCGATTTGGGGGGGAGGACGTCTAGCTTGCCAGCACCTCCTTGCATCTCTGTAGTGCTGAGCGCTCCTTCCGTCTCCTTCTTTGCTCTGCCCCCAGCCCCTCCACTCTCCCAGGAGAAACTCTGTCATCCTTCTCTAATCCTGAGGATTAGATCTGGCCCCATTCATCTGTTATCCTCCTGAATGAGCCTTCCCATCCAACCACATGGGAAGAGCCCTGGATGAGGCCTGGGTTCGAGTGCTGCCTCTGATACCCACTGACTGTGTGACCCTGGGCAAATGATTTAACTTCTTATTGGCAGCTCCTAAGACTAAGTTTCAGAGAAGATGCTGGTCTGCATTGGCAAGGTGGACACCCTCCATCCGTGCAGCGATCTTGGGTGAGTCCCTTCACTTCTCTTGGCCTGTTTTCTCTTCTATGAAATGAGGGGCTGGATCTCAAAGGCCCTTTCCAGCTGTACATTCTATGAATGACCAGGAATCTCCCCCCCCCCCCCGGCCCCTAACCAGGATCCATTCCCCCAGAAGAGGCAGTATGGTGGGGGAGGTGAAGGGGGGCAGGGAACAGCACGGGACAGCTTGGGAGCCCAACCCAGCTCTGCTAGCAACTAGCTGGGCCTCCTGGGGGCCTCTCTGAGCCTCAGTTTTCTCATCCATGGAATGAGAGGAATGCGCCCACCTTGCCTAGCTCCTAGGTAAGGATGGATTTCCATGAGTACTTTCTTAGCTTACTAGGAGCACCAGCATTGGGGTCTTCCTGTCCTGTCCAAGGGGACACAGGTCCTCTTGGCTACCAGTGCTTGGTGCTCAGCAGCCCTACCTTCCCATCCTCACTCCAGCCCCCCAGGGCAAACGCCAGGCGGGCAGCAAAGCAAACAATCCCATAATCCTCCATGTTCTCCTGGGACCCCTGGACAGGGCTGAGGACCCACTGCTTCTCTGTCAGAACTGGCCCTTCCCAGGTGGAGCAGCAGATGGGGAGGAGGAAAGGAATTGGGTTCCCACTCCTCAGGGACAGCCCACCAGTGCTTGGAGGAAAGTCCTCCAAAAGTCCTAGAGACATCCCATCCAGGGGCTCTGAAAGTCTGTAATGGTCCTCTGGAGGCTGCAGCATCTTACTTCCTGTGGGGAGAGCTACCGTAGAATGCAGGTTTCTCTGCTGGGAAGATAATAGTAGCATATTCTGTCTGCTCACACGAGTCGGCCCCTCCTTGTTTGGGGACCTCAGTCCTCTGGAAATCCAGCTGGCCATAGACCACGGTGGATACTGACGCGACAGATGTCTCAGCCTTCTTCAAGGACTAAAAGAAGAAAATGCAAAAGACTCTCTCAGCATTATTACTTCCAAAGTATCCATCAGCATTCAGCATTAGCCACATCCGGCAGGTGAGGGGGCCCAAATAACATTGCTGGGACTGGGGAGCCAGAAACACCTTGTTCTAATGCCAGCTCTGACCACTGACCAAGTGTGCAAGTGAGAGGAAGGTACTGCCCCTCCATTATCTGACCACGTCTTCAGCAAGGACTATCCCACCCTCCTTTCGGCCTCTTTTGAAAGGCAGCTATGGACTTGGGGTCAGGAAGACCCGAGTTCAAATGCTGCTTCAGATACTTAACAGCTGTGTGACCCTGGGCAAGTCCCTTAACCAATGTTTGCCTCAATTTCCTCACCTGTAAAATGGGGATCATGATACCACCTATGTTACAGGGTCAGTGTGATGACCAAATGAGATAATATGGGTTTGTAAACTTTAATGTGCTACTATGGAGGAGAAGGAGGAGGAGGAAGGGGGAGGAGGAGGAGCAGGAGTGTCCTGATACCAGGGAGTAGAAAAAGAACACAGACTTATGATGAAAAATATTAATAAAGTATGGTCTGACTTTAAAAAAAAAAAAGAAAAAGAAGACAGCCGCTAATCCAGCCTCAGACACTTGATACTCACTAGCTGTGCGACCCCGGGCAAGTAGCTTTGCCTTTATCTGCTTCAGTTTCCAAATCTGGAAAATGGGGATAATAATAGCAACTATTTCTCAGGGTTGTTGTGAGGATCAAATGAGATAATACTCGTAATGCTTAGTACAGTGCCTGGCACATATTAGGTGCATAATAAATACTTATTTATTCCCTTACTTTTTTAGCGGTAACTAGGTGACCCAGTGAATAGAGCCCTAGTTCTTGAGTCAAGAAGAGCTGAGTTCAATTCCAGCCTCAAACACTTACTAGTAGTGTGACCCTGGGCAACTCACTTAACCCCAGTCTGCCTCAGTTTCTTCAAGTATAAAATGAGGGTGATAATAATAACATCCACATCCCAGGGTTGTTGTAAGTATCAAATGAGATAATATTTGTAAAGTACAGTGCCTGGTACGTAGTAGGTGCTTAATAAATTTTTTTTTTCCCCTTCCTTTTACAAATGAGGAAACTGAGACCCAGGAAAGGCAAATGACTTGGCTAAATTCACACAGATAGGGGCAGTTAGGTGGCTCAGTGGATAGAGCACCAGCCCTGAAGTTAGGAGGAGCTGAGTTCAAATGCGACCTCAGACCAAACACTTGACACGCGCTTAGCTGTGTGACCCTGGGCAAGTTACTTAACCCCAATTGCCTTAAAAAAATAAAAAAATTTAAAAAAAAATAAATTCACACAGATAATAAGTTTAGTTTAAGGTCTTTAGCGGAAGGAAGCAGGAAGGAAGGAAGAAAGGGAGGGAGGGAGGGAATGTTAAAAGAACTGTAGAGTTGAGATGGATTGTTTGTTTGGACTTGAGGCACAAGGCAGTAAACGATTTCGTAAAACCACTCCACGGTGATTCCAGAGACACCCTCAGGCCAAAGGGCAGACTAGGGAAGCTCACTGTTCACTGTCACCACCCCGCCCCCACCAGAGGCGCTCTTTCTTGCCTTCTTCTCTCTCCTTTTTCTCCTCTCTACTACCTCCCCTCCCCTTTTCTTTCTCTCTTCACTTTTTTGGGAGATGTAGGAGAAAGAGCACTTTCATTTGGAGTGAGGATAACTAGGCTCAGATCCCAGCAGGGTGGAATTAACTTGACCAAAGTCACAAAGAAAAGTCTGGATTCAAACCTCTGACTCCAGAACGTGTTTTTTCCATGATGTTATCCTGAAGCTACATGACATGTCCAACATCACACAGGTGAAAAGTGGCAGAACTGAGCTTCAAACCCAATCCTTTTGACTCCCAATTCAGAGTTCTTTCCACCATACCCTGGTGACCCCAGGAGCTAAAGCCAGATAGGCCTGAGACAACAATTAGCCCAACTCTTTTACAGCAGAGGAAACTGAGGCCCAGAAGAGGGAAAGGATTTAGCCAGCTGTACACAACTTGGCAGTGCTGGGATTTGAACCAGGTCCTCAGGTTCCAAATCCAGGATTCTCCACAGGGAGACATGCATGCCAATCTGCCTCCACAAACATGGACAGCGCCACTCTTCTGGATAAATAAGAGGAAGGGGACTTTAAAGAAACTCACCAGAGAGTCTTTGTCGCTCTCAGAGTTACCCGCCCCTGCAAAGAAGATGGTTTACGGGTTAGAAAAATCGGAGCTGAGATTTTGCAGTGGTCACCTCCCAGCCCCCACCGGGGCTCCTGGGATGGGTAAGGGAGGACGGGACGGGGGGGGGGGGAAGGAGGGGGGTAAATGGGTAGCTTCTGGTCAGCTCAGGAAGGTCCCCCCTGCCTCTACCTTTCCCTCCATCATGTTGGACCCCTTTTTTTCTTTTTAAACCTACCATTCCCCAGCCCCCAGAGATTACAAGGGAAGAGGAAAGCTCTGGTCCTGAAAGGTGAGAAATCTGAAGCAAAATCCCCAAGGAGAACATTGGAATGGAGCAGAGATTTGGGAAGCCTGGAGAGGCCCCCAGGAGAGTCGTGTTGCATAAGGCAGCATCATTGCATAAAGGTTTCATCATGACAGTGGAGGGTGAGGGAGTGAGATCTCCACGACCCCTTCCTGGGCTGCCTTTCCTCCCTGTTTCCCACTCTCTCCCTCACCAACAAATAGCCCAAGGCCTAGAGCAGCTGCCCCTGTCCCAATGAAACAAATCCATAGAAACCAGCCTTGCTCCTCCGTGATCCCTCCTCATGGAGGGTCAGAGCTGGAGGAAGGGCAAGAGAAGGGAACAGGGGGGAAAATCAGGCCAGGGAGGGGCCAGCCTTCAGCTCGCAATCCCAACTGTTTGCCAACAGGGAGGAAAAGGGACTCTGAAATCATCACTTCCCCCACCCTAAACTGGGCTAGAGAAGATGCAGTGAGCATGGTGGGACCTTGGGGAAATGGAAACCCAAGGCTGATCAAAGTCTCCAGATGTTTCTGCCTATGAGAGAGGGGGTGCCGGAGGAGAAGCGCTGCCCTCGGAGCCAGGAAAATCTTGACATTCCGCCTCAGACACGTACTAGCTCTCTCTGACCAAGACGTGACCCGAGACAATTCCAAAGGATCCATGATGAAAATGTTCTCCACCTCCATAGACCACTGGCGAACTCAGAGTGCAGAGGGGAAGCAGACTTTATTTTACTTTATTTTTCTTGGGGGGCTTTGTCTGTTTCTTTTGCAACATGGCTAATATGGAAATGTCTTGCATAACTTCACATGTATAAACGGGTTGATCATTTGTTTGTCTCCTCAATGGGTGGGGGAGGGTGGGAGAGAGGGAGAGAATTTGGAACTCAAAAAAAAATTTTAACGAATAAATAAATGAATAAATATTCATTTAAAACAAAAACATTCAAGTTTTTACACGTAATTAGGAAATCTTTAACAAAACAAAGAAAAAAATTTATAAAGAAATGTCCTAGCTCCTTCTGACCAATATGTGACCCAAGACAATTCCAAGGGACCCACGATAAAAACGTTCTCCACCACCAGAGTAGGTGACGAACTCTGAGTGCAGACTGAAGTAGCCCTTTTCATTTTCTTTTTTGCAACATGGCTAATGCAGAAATATGTTTTACATGATTTCACATGTATAATTGATATCATATTGCTTGTGCAAGGAAGGGGGAGAGTAGGAGGGAGAGAATTTGGAACTCAATTTTTTAAATGAATATTAAAAATAGATTTTTTTAAAAAGAAAAGCAGAAAAAAATGTATTAGCAATGTATTAGCTGGGTGACCCTGGATAAGTGGCTTAACCTCTCTAAGCTTCAGTCTCCTCTTTTATAAAAATGGGTACAATAGTATTTCAAGTACCCCTTCATACAGCTATTGTGAAGCTCAAATAACATGATTTCCAAACCTTAGAAGTATTATTGAAATGTATGTGGTAATAGTAGTAGTAGTAGTAACAGCAGCAGCAACAGTGGCAGCAGCAGCAGTAATCGTAGTAGTAGTAGTAGTAGTAACAGCAGAAGCAACAGCAGCAGTAGTAATAGTAGTAGTAGTAACAGCAGCAGCAGGAGTAATAGTAGTAGCAGCAGCAGTAATAGTAGTAGCAGCAGTAGTAATAGTAGTAGTAGTAACAGCAGAAGCAGCAGCAACAGTAGTAATAGTAGTAGTAGTAACAGCAGAAGCAGCAGCA